AACCCGTCTGATTTATCTCGTCTGTGGATCCCACTGTGCCTGCTGCTCTTCTCCTCTGTCCCCGAAGCTGGAAGCTAATGAATTAACATCTACCCACACTCGGATGTCTGAGGAGTTCTTAAGCACTCCATCACTGTGGTTTCTTATTCACTTCTACTAAAGAGCTTTATCAGGCCTCGGGGTAAACGTGAGGAACTTGTATCGATAATCGAGCCCTTACCTCTATGAGTCATCCCACTTTTCAGTGTTGATGCTGGAAGATAGTTGGACCAACTTAGTTTTATCTGTCACTGTCACTCTGCCGGATTCAGCCTGACAGCACACAGCTCCTGCCACCTGCTGTCAGCACTGTTTCAAGTCTCGCTCTTCGTAGTCTCGGCTCTTTCATCCTGGAGGTCAAACTGTAAGTTTGCATGTATGTGTGGTTAATTAAAAACCAGAGACATCATGCGTCCATAGTGTTTTACAGAGGTAACAAATGAAACCCAGGAAAAATGAGTGGAGAAAAAAACCCCTTCCATCCCGTCTTTGTCTGTGACATTGATGAAAATGCTGATGAGGCCCAGTCGACCTTGATTTTGGCTCAGGATGGTATGAGGACAGTTTTTTAAGTACTTTTAGAATATAAAAAGGTTTTTTATTGGTCTGTTCCAACAAAGTCAGGGTAGATGTCATCCAGTTGTTTGAGGAACATGACAATGATTCAGTCTAAATCATAATTTTTAACTTTCCGAAATCTCTGCAGATTTTGAACCAGCGTTCTTCACCACTATCTCAACCCACTAGTTCTTGGAAGCTGTGGTGGTTCAATACCTTTTTTCCATTAATAATCAGAGTATCGACAATTCTCTGGCTCCAAATGCCCAAAATTGCAGCGTTCGTACCCAGGATGTTTTGGCTTCTTTTCTGGATAGTGGCAGGAGGTTCTGTCCATCTTCTTCCATCTTCATAAACTGTCTGTTGTAACTAGCTCATCTGAAACTATCCAGTAGTTACTCCGACCTTATTGGGAGGATTTTCCTTAAAACTTGAATGTTCATACATGCCTGCTGCAGCCCAGTTGTTTTCTAATCTTTTATTTCACAGATTGAACGACAGGCCTCTGACACTGTTTGTCTCAATCGAGTCTCTTCTGTTTTTCCACTTCTCTGTGCGGAATAGTTTCGATGACAGGCACCACAAGAAAGAACCATCTGTTTGGGCACTTTCCAGCTGTGGGTTGCCATAAACTTGAAATTTTAAGGACACGTGGGACTTTGAATCTGTTAGACGTGGAAATCTTCTTTTTTTATTTATTTTAAACTTCACAAATACCTGCAATAAAAAAATGAGACACAGCCGGAGCAGTAACTTACAGGCCATCAGCTGGACTGTAAAAGTTAGTGTAGGAGGTGTTTCAGACATGTCCGGTTATTCGACTGCGACCAAATGAAAATCCTGCTGCTCTCTGTGATAGACAAATCACTGTAATGTTCCAGTGGAAACTAATATCTTCCCTGGGGTGGTCAACAACATCCTTGCAATGAGCGTGTTGTATTTTGGGATATTTTTATCTCCTGCGGTGTCACTATAACATTCATGCAATATTCCTTCAGGGAATTATGCGCCTCTGGCAATCAATAGTGAGTTTACTATGACCTGATTGTACTGACAGCATGCAGCAGTGGTCTCTCTCTCTGTCTCTTTCTCTTTCCACGCCTGATTCTCTGGGGGAGTCCCCTGCTACAGTGAGCGAGAGGAAGGGGGGCGGAAACAAAAATAGCAATATCCTCCAACAAGAATCATATCTGACACTGGATGTCATTTTCTAGAGTTTCTCCTCTTTCCCCACTGCAGCAGAACTGCTTGTAAAACACACGTAAAGTCATCCACTCATTCACTCACACAGAAAACACACGTTACACACTGACACACACACTTTAAGACTCTTCTTCTGTCTCACACACACACACACACACACACACACACACACACACACACACACAAATGAGGGAGACGCATCATGGGGATGTTAATTGAGCCAGAGACATAGACAGAGTCAATTGAGCTTTTAATAGAGCATCTCCTCTTCCTCTGTGTGGATAAATAATACAGCAGTCAGCAAATCTAGATCTAATAGATGATACTGACCTTTGGGGGAGAGAGAGAGTGAGATGGAGAGGGATACACACTCACTCACACACTCGAGTGTCAATAGAGGCGAAGCGCTCAGACAAAGCATCTTAATCAGAATGCGACGAGGTGGTGATCAATCACGAGGATGACGATGTAGCAGAGGCGTAGAGGCCCTGACCTCGGCTGCACTGCAGATAGAGCAGAGCGGCTCTATCGGGCCCCTCAGAGACGCTCTTTTCTTTGCTTTCATCCTCCCTCTTTGTCTTTTCTCTCCCTCTCCGTGTCGTCCCTTCCTCTTCTATCTCTCTCCATCTTCCTCTTTCCATTTTGATTACTCTCTGCTGCCTCGTCTCTCTCCCCTCCCTACCTCCCTATATTTCTGTCTGGTAACCACCATCTGTCATCCCCTGTCTTCCTCTGTCACCCCCCGTCCCCCCTCTCACACTCATTTTCACTCCCTCAATCCAATTCAAGGAGCTTTATTGGCATCATAAGATGAATTTTACTGTCTTTCTGGAACATTTGTCTTCCTCTTACTAACTCTACACTTTTTAATGCTGCTCCACAAAACTCTGCGGAGGCTGCACCAGTCACGGTCGGTCAGCAGTGAGTCAGTCCCTCACGTCAACGTCGGAGTCAAGGCCGTGAATCGTTTATTTCCTTGCTGCTGTACGAGCAGGGTTAAACTAAGTGCTACTCATCCCACAATGTTTTACAAGCACAAGTGTTGTAAAGGAACAAGCAGCCAAATAAAATGTCTGCACAGTCTGAGGCGGCCTTGGAAGTCACTTGTATGTGTACAGTGACACCAGGTGGAAAAACTCTGTAATACATCATTGTGATATAATGTGCTGCAGGAACCATGGCTGATTTTAAAAAATCTCGACCAGGGGGTTGTTTATTTGTTTGTTTGTTTGTTTGTTTGTTTGTCTGCAGGATGATGTAAAAAAGTGAATTTAGAAAATAAATATTTCTTAATTTGTACTTTTCAAAAACAACTTAACAAAGTTCTTCACAAACATAGAAACAGAACAAACACAAAGACATAAACAATCTATTGTTTTATAAAAATGAGTCTTTAAACGAGATTTAAAAGAGGCGAACACTTGATTCCCAGTGGAAGGTTATTCCATAGTCATAGAGCCCTCACAGAAAAAAGCTCTGCTGCCCTCAGTTTCAAGCCTTACACTGGGAACCAAGAGCAAAATATGTAAGTATGCAGAATATTAAATACTTAAGTGACATAACAACATAGCATCGTATTCAGTCAAATGGCACAGGGTCAATAGGATGTGAGTGGTGCAAAGTAGAATAGTAGTAAAATGGATTTAGAAGTGCAAAATACTTTTTCAGGAAAGTAATGCATATACAGATATGGTTGAATCCTACATAAATATACATGTGTGTGTGTATATATATATAAATATCAATACATGTATGATGTTTTTATACCAGAGGCATAGTGAGGTGACTGGGTGGTGTGTTTTACAGTATTGGATATGATAGAAAGTGATCAATCTGCATGTATGCAGTGAATTAAATAACTTATTTGATCCCTAACTACTCCAAAGAGCAGAGTGAAATATCAACAGAATAGTTTTCATGTTATTTCCATGTTAATTATATTCAGATGAATTATATTATACTCAGATGTCAGTAGAACAAAGCTGTGGCATCACAGGTTGGTGTGTGAGAATAAGAGGTGTCGGCTCAGAGTCATCCTGTGTGTGACTCCTCTGACCTGAACTTGTGAGGCTGAGGTTCGATTCTCTCAGACTCTCTAGTACTTTTCCAAGAGGAGATGTCAGCACTTTGTGTGAGGGACTTCTCTCAGTATCCAGGAAGTGACGGTGAGGACTGAACGGGGTCGAAACAAGCTGAGGGAGGTCGTCCTGTCTCTACAAAAGAAGTTGGGTGGAAGAGGAGCTCCATCAAGCTGGCCAGACACAGACCTGTACAGGAAGTTGTAAATGTGGGCCTTCAATATAAAAATGCACAGACCTGGGTTGTTGAAATATAAAAACATTCATATTCGTCTTCATAATCTGTGGTGTGTGGCATCTAGAAAATGAATATGCATTTCTGTTGATCACCAAAGTGGGGGCCCATGAGCCAAAAAGGAGCCACTCAACTCAACTACGTCTCCTCTCGGCTAGAACATTATGTGCCCCATAGATTATCTGAACGATACCTCTCACTCATTCCTTTAGAAACATGCAACATACAAGCATTACACAATAAACTGTGTGTATAGATGGATAACCACTCTGCACTTCCCCCCACTATCCAGAAATTCTATAAAAATATCCTCGATCAGAAAAGTTGCAGCTAATTCAAAATGCTTCTGCTCGAGTGACCCACTAACACCGAGAGGGTGGATCATATCCCTAAATACACAAAACACATTCTCTGGCATACAAGCAACAGAGAGAACCAGTCCTTCGAGATCCAAATCTTAAATCGTGTCGTTTCTCGATAAACTAGTAAAACCCCTTGAGATAATCAGAATCAGCTTTATTGGCCATGTATGAGCACAAATACTTGGAGTTTGACTCTAGTGGAGTTGTGCTCAGTGTACTTACACAAATAAACACATAATTAACAACAGACCACCAGAAACAAACCGATGGTATAGATAGATAGATAGATAGATATATAGATAGATAGATATATAGGTAGATAGATATATAGATAGATATATAGGTATATATATAGATAGATAGATAGATAGATAGATAGATAGATAGATAGATAGATAGATAGATAGATAGATTTTCAAGCATGTGTCTTGAAGGAATTGACATTTTCCCCCAAGTTTTATTTTGAAAACATAAAGCGGAAGCCCCGTGTTGCGTTCACGGACTTCACGTTCCTCTGCCTGTGGGAATCTGGGTCCTGAGCGAAAAACACCGTCCGGAGGAGCGACCGACTTCAGCGAGTGTCTCTGATTCGCTTTAATTTTACGATTTCTCCAACAGCCCCGTTCTCTCTTCGAGACGTCCCCGGAAAAGGGAGGCAGCCCAGTGCGGAGCCGACGCCGCAGGTTTTTGTTACCGACGGAGACGCGGCGGAGTTGTTTGTGAAGTCGGGGTGAAAATGGAGAGCTCAGCTGAGAGTGGGGTGAGGAGGCTGGGTTTGGCAGAGCTGCGGGTCCTGCCCTTCTGCTAGCTGCTAGTTAGCATGCTAACACACACACACACTCACTCACACACTTTCACACACTCCGAAGTTACGAGGTGAGCCTCAAAGTCACTTCTAGTCGCTTGTTTCGTTAAAAAACGATTGTGGATGTTTTTACCGACAGCTGCAGGGTTTCTGTATGTTGCTGAAAAAGAAAAAAAGTCCCATGATGTTTTGGGTGCAGGAGGAGAAAAGTCCCACACTGACCTGGCTCAGGCCTGGACATTCTGATCTGAACTTAAACACACTGTAAAGTTTGTTGTGGACATTCACAGTGTCATGGTTTCTTATGTTTTCACTTGATTCTGAAGGAGCTCTCGTCTTAATCAGCTGTTTTCATGTCTTAACAAAGTAAAGTTAGTTTGTCAAACAATATTTCTAATAATAACGTAACAAACTTTCTGATAATTGAGGTTTTCTTTTTTTTTTACAATGAAAGATTGAAACATGTCTGTGATCAAGCCCAGTTTGAGTTTTACAATATGGCCTCGTGACTCTGGTGTGTAACTTTTTTTGTCAAAATGACAAATCACTGCACATAATGTTCACAGGAAGCAGTTAACATGTCAGTATTCAGCATTTACACGGACACGGTGCATGTCCGTGCATCTGTTGAGCCCAAACCGTGAACTCTCCAGTTTCATATTGCATTTTCACGTTCTTCATTTCAGAGCCTCCCTCCGCTGTGATCCAGAGCCGTGATTCTCCAGGGGAGCTGCTTTCTCTGCAGTTGGACCGCTGCTGACGCTGCAGCTTCTCCCAATGGATCTGAGCATGTAGTTGAAGTTCTGATTGTCTGTGGAAGTTCTGCGTGAATCCTGAGGACGATGATGCATTTCTCCTGAAGGCGGCCATACTTAAAAACTTGGTTCAAAGCTTTTCTTGCCCTTCTCCTGATCAGTCTTTCTTTGTGCAGTGAGGATCCGTACTCATGCTCGTGCCATTTTGTCCATAACATTTAAGGTCATCTGAAATGGGGCCCTGGTAGCTTCTTCAAGGGGTTTGAGGTCCCCCCTGGCTGGATACAGTGCTCCCCCGGGTGTGCGTGTGACCCATCGACACAGGTCTATAACAAGAAAATTGTGACCCAATGACAAAGCACTTGCTGTGGGAGTGGAGACAGCCGACGTGATTACCCGAATGCATTCATGAGCTCCTCGACTGTTAAACTGGACCGTAGTGGATGTATTGCTTGTGTTCATGAACTGTGACTGCTGATGCCAGCTCATTGGGACTTGAGTGGGTGTAATCAGCTTTATTCATGAACCCTCTGTCTCCGCATGGGTACGGCCTGGATGTTGGATGCCCTGAGTCTGTTGAATCGGCTGTTGCGGTGATGAGGCAGGGCTCCTGGTGGCCTGCGTGGCTGAATGGGCAGCGGCCCAAGGTGATGTGATGGGTTGCAGGAACAGTAAGGTCCTCCCTGAGCCTCCAGGGGATGTTCAGTTGGACCTGGTCAAAAAGGTCAGTGAAATAACATAGTACTGTAACTTATAATTACAGTAATCTGATAATACTGTTCATACAGTATCAGTTAAACGTGTCCTCTATGAAATGTCACGTAACTATTAAAAACTTTTCTAAGCACCCGACATGAATCTGTGATAGAAACGTGTAGTATTCTCAAGCTGGTGCAAGAAAATACTGTGTTTTATCTTAACAAGGACAACTTTACTGTAGATCAGCTAATCAGTGAACCAGCTAACTATTTATTAAAGCTTTGTGTGTAGAATTTCTTCTGTCTATAACATCTAAGTATTCTGACAGCATGAAGATATTTTTACAGAATTACCAGTAATCTAGCGTTACCAGCAATCTAGTTTGTCGACTTTGTACAAAGCAGCCCTCATACTTCAATGAAAACAAATCTGCAGGCTCACTTGTTAACGTCAGTGTTAAACCTCGCCAACCTGTCAACGTGTTTTCGTGCTAGCATGTATACATCACTATGTTTGCGTATGTCAATTCATTTAGTCTTTGCGTCATTTCTCCACAAATCAGCTTTTATTCTTTGTAATTTCCTTCTGTGATGAACTGTGTTGATTTTTCAGGTCGATCCTCCGCAGCCCCCTCAGACAGATATCTTTAAGCACTTCATACGAGGGGATGGCACTGGAAGCAAGATGGGCGGGGTCGGTGGTGGGGGCGGTGATAAGGCCGACTCCACCTCCCCATATCAGGCCCAGGCACAAGCTGCCACTCCTACCGCTTCCGCCCAGCCACCCAAGGACCCATCCGAACTGTCGGATCCTCAGCGGAAGAAGGTGGCGAAATATCGAGCCAAGTTTGATCCACGGGTCACAGCCAAGTATGACATCAAAGCTCTGATAGGACGAGGAAGTTTTAGCCGCGTTGTTCGCGTGGAACACAAGAGCACGCGGCAGCCGTACGCCATCAAGATGATCGAGACTCGTTATCGGGAGGGGAGGGAGGTGTGCGAGTCAGAGTTGTGTGTTCTCAGGCGCGTTCGTCATACCAATATAATCCAGCTGATGGAGGTGTTTGAGACGGCGGAGCGTGTCTACATGGTGATGGAGCTCGCCACTGGAGGTGAACTCTTCGATCGGATCATTGCTCGTGGCTCCTTCACAGAGCGGGACGCCACCCGGGTGCTGCAGATGGTGCTGGACGGTGTCAAGTATCTCCACACATTGGGGATCACTCACCGAGATCTGAAGCCGGAGAACCTGCTCTACTACCACCCTGGGGCTGATTCCAAGATCATCATCACCGACTTCGGTTTGGCCAGCAGCAGGAAGAAGGGGGACGAGTGTCTGATGAAGACCACCTGCGGCACGCCAGAGTACATCGCGCCTGAGATCCTGGTGAGGAAGCCCTATACGAACGCAGTGGACATGTGGGCGCTGGGGGTGATATCGTACATCCTGCTGAGTGGAACCATGCCGTTCGAGGACGACAACCGCATGCGGCTGTACCGACAAATCCTCAAGGGGAAGTACAGCTTCTCTGGAGAGGTGAGGAGTTACAGTAGATGCAAGTCACACTCTCACTCACTCACTCTCTCTCTCTCACACACACACACACACAGTCTCCAGCAGACTTCACCCATATTTGGACAACATTCCTCACACCGCATGAGGCTTTGTCAACAAATTTCCAAGAAGTTCAGCTTTTCCTGTGAAGTGGCACGATTTTAACACTGATACACACATTTTTGCACTTAACTCCTCCATTCTCATTTTATGTCCATTCCAACCTCAGTCTCATTTATTTGTCCTGTCTAAGTCAATATGCCCCCTCTCTGTGTGTGCACAATAATTTATGCTCTATCTGTGTATCTAGTTGGAAGAATGCTGAGTAGACTGTTCCTTTGTTTCATAGTGTGGGATGTTTATGTTGCAAGTGGGCTTTACAGAAGAGGCCCTCGGTTAATGTTTGCCCCACATACAGATACTCCAGCGCAAATAATAGCTGGTTGGTTTTGTAATATTTTACAGGGAGTACTCGGATCATCTCAGTTTTAATGCCCTGGTGTCTGAGACAGTGGCGGCTGGTGGCTTTATGTTTTCAAGTTGTCCTTGCCTTTCTCGTTTCTTCAAATTTGTTGCAAAGATATTTTGGACTTATGGATGAACTGACTAGATTTTGGGGGGGGGTCTAAGGTCAAGGTTGGTGTAACCTGATGTTTGTCCTATTGCTGTGAACGTGATATGCTATAGGAACGCAGGTAGTTTCATTATTTCTGGCACAAAGGACTATTTGCACTCACAATGAACTGAGTAGATTTTGGTGTTAAAAGGTCACTGTGACCTCACAATACAGGTTTTTGGCCATAACACAACGATTCATGTTAATCATGACAAAATACACATTATAAGTTTTATAGAATTCCATCATGTCAGACGTGGATGTTACTTTCTTCATTCTGTCCATTGCTGCAGCTCCTCTTTTCAGCCTCTGTCTGAAACACTTTCTATAAGCTCCCTTCTCTTAAAGCCTCCCCGACTGATAGTTCTTTATCTCCTTGTTTACGGTCTGAATCTTTACGATTGTGAAATACAAAAATAATATTTTAGAAATGCTTGTGCTGCTGTAATGGTTCTGCATTGATGAGGTATTTTACAGATGCTTTCAACGTATTATACGGTCGTAACTGAGGATGAGAACTATTCATTTTATTAACAGGTCATTTTATCTCCCTGGGTCAGATGCTGTAGAAGAACAGATTGCTGTGATTATCTAGTTACATTAAAGAAACTTGTGTCCTGAGGGTAAATGGGAGTTGGGGGCTGAGGCGGAGCAGACTCAAATGTATTTCCCTCAGGGATGAGTTCTTTTACAGCTGCAATAAATAAGGTTCACGTTTACAGCTGCACTCCGAGAATGAATCACAGCCGGGACAGACAAGAAATGTAGAGACGGGTCCTTAAGAACTTGCAGGAGGTTTTGACTCACCACTGGTCATTCGTACAAACACACTCAAGAGAAGTTTCCAATACAAGAAGACATTTTATTTTACATAAGATCTCATGGAAACATGACATTCAGAGACTTATTAAATTCAGTATCGAGTCTGACAATTTAAGACAATCTAAGAAGACACATTGTCTACAATAAACAGGACCCAACAAAAAAGTGTCTCTCGTAGAGTAGACATCATCTTTCTACTGCTCTGCTGCCCTCTTGTGTTTAGTGCAGGGAGCTTTTCTGATGACTATCTACATTATTCCAAGCCCCCTTCACTCATCGATGTTTTGATCCTTCATACGAGCAGATTTTTGTATAAAGCTTCTGCTGAAGTCTCAGTTTCACACGTGTATGTAGGAGCTGGATTTTGTGACATCACAGCTGGAAGACTATCGAGGGTCACTATGTAACTTGTATGGTTTTGATGTTGAAACCTGAAACCTCCAGGTCACGTACTTTGAGAACGGATGAAGCTTGTGTCTAAATGTTAAATTAATATAGTTTACTTCAAGTCTTTTTTATCCGAATCATACACAATTATATTTATGTGTCCAAAAATGTATTAGGTTCTTTTCTTTACTTTTTTACTTGGATTACGAAGGTAGTTACAAAAATATATTATATAGTAAGTGAATAAAAGAACAAAATAATTATCTGTACATAATTGGTATATGTCTACACAGACATACACACATATGTTCAAATGTGCCTCATTTCAAGTTCACAAAAGAAACTAATCATAAAATATGTATGTACATGTACACTATTATTAATCAAAGCAGAGTATTTGTATATCTTGAGGGCATCCTTAGAAACTATTCAGGAGAAGCTCATTTGTCATATTCTCTTGTTTTTGATGTTTAATCAATTATGGTTTTGTCAGTTTAGACTTTTCGTAGCATTAACAGCACAGACTGAACAAATAACATTAACAATTCATTTTTACATTATTCATTGCAACATGATGCAACTATGAGGCACAGGATTAGTTACTCCTGTGCACCATTTCTCTGCGCCCACACCTCAGTTAGGAAACCACTGGTTTAATCCTGCCACTGACTCAGCTTGTTGTTTACGTGTCTCACATCTGTCTCCCATCTCTAGCCGTGGCCCAGTGTGTCCAACCTGGCCAAAGACTTTGTGGAGCGAATTCTGACGGTGGACCCCAGCGAGCGGCTCACCGCTGGCCAGGCCCTCAAGCACCCCTGGGTCGTCAGCATGGCCGCATCCTCTTCCATGAAGAACCTACAGCGCTGTATATCTCAGAACCTGCTGAAGCGGGCGTCTTCGCGCTGCCACAGCACCAAGTCGGCTCAGTCCACGCGCTCCAGCCGCTCCACCAAATCCAACAAAGCCCGTCGGGTGCGAGAGAAGGAGCTGCGCGAGCTGAACCGTCGCTATCAGCAGCAGTACAATGGCTGACAGAGGGACCAGGGCAGCGGACCTTGTACTTAAAGGGAAACAGCACTACAAAGACAGCTTTCACGATGACTGCCACCATTCTATGACGCTTCCAGTGTTAAAGGCCAAAATGGCTTACAATCCAAAAATCATTGCCTTTTTTTAAAAAGAGGGCAATAATGTGACTGAATCAGTTTCTTTAAGCAATAAATCTAATTGAGGTTGAAAAGTAATTAATCGCCAATTGAGGCGATTAAGCAAATGAAAAGTGATTCCTGATCCATGAAGACAGTGAAATCTATGAATTCCTATGGTATTGTATCTCCTGATGAGAACACAGAAGGACACACCAGCAAAGTGTTTCATTACATCATCTCTCCATCCATTCCTTCACCTTCTCCTTGGCTGGATGGTGCCTTCCACTCCTTTTTAATTTTGTCTTTCAATTCCTGTGTCTCTACATATTTATTTATTATTGTTGACGTGATTATTAGTCTCCATTCAAATGGTCACTGGATAATGACCTTCTGCGAGGATCTGTTGAACAGAGTTCTGGGTACTGACGTTTCTAAGAAGGGGATAATTCTAGAAGTGGGGAACCCAAGTCCCCTCCTCACTCATTCCTGATTGAAAATTGCTGTGAATTTCTTATTTTACTTATTGTACGGACCTTGTCTTAAAGGGGCAATGTGTAGAATTTAGTGACATCTAGAGGTGAATTTGCATGTTGCAGCTGAACACCCCTCACCTCACCCTCCCCTTCCCGACATGAAAGTGAACCTGTGGTAGCCTTCAGTTGTCATAAATACTCAAAAGGTTTAGTTTGTCCAGTCTGGACTATTGAAGAAAAACATGGCGACCTCCGTAGAGAGGACCCGCTCCCAATTTAAATATAAAGTATTTATATATAGAGTTCATTCTCTGGTAAAGAAAACAACAATTCATACAACTTAGACGAAACATCACAAGGATTATTTCATATTCAATTCCTGCCAATAGATCCCTTTCACCTGAATATTACACACTGAACCTTTAAGATATGGACGATGGAAACACACTGCAACATAACCACGCTATTGAAGGCAAAACTGAAGGCGTATTTTCTAGTGGTCAATTCAAAGCTTATCTAATCTTGCCATTGTTGATATCAGTGTTCAGATGCTGTTAAAAGATTGTGAAGCTGTTCTGTCAGTGTTTAATCCTAAGTGTATTGTATTATACACTCCTACTTCCTTTTATTTTACTTGACCCAAAACGTATTAGCCATTAGCCATTCAAATCATTCATTTGACTTCATAATGGTATGTGGCCATTTGGAGGGTTGATAACGAGGAGCACGTTGGCCATTAATGTGTATGTTTTTAAACGTGATTTACAAAACCTAGCATAAAGATTTTTAATTTTCTTCATGTGCACTTAATTAAGAATCGATTGAGGTTCAAGAGCATAGCTGTAGCTGATCAAATCCCCAATATCCACAGTAAATATATTTGTTTATACTACAACACACTTTTCTGTGCTCTCTCTCTCTCTCTCTCTCTCGGAGTCTGAATCATCACCTGTACAATACCCATCGTGTGGATAATCAGCGTCCTCACATGATTAGGTATTGGGACCACTGCACTACTCAGAGCTGGAGGTATAATAACAGTAGAGTGAAAACGTTGGTTTATGTGATACTGTGGTGTAGTTCAAATGGTAAGGTGCTTCACTACAGTTCAGTCAGTGCTCTGGATTTATTACACTTGTTTCTTTTTGTTTGGGTTATGAAGTAATTTCTAATGATTCCCAGAAACGTCAGAAACTGTGATATTAGTAGTAACACAAAAATCGATGGGCCTCGTTTTCCTTTTTTTTTTTTTCCTTTAATCTGACAAAGCACTTCGTGTACAAAGATGAATTGAGTTTTGTTTGGTGTGTCTGTTGTTGTGTATGTGTCAGTAGACTCTCAGTGTAAATCAGATGGTACATTGTGGCCTTTTCTTCTTCATATGAGTGTTTTTGCTGTGATCTGCCCCCCCGACTCATAAAGTGTGCGGTCGTCGTGAACTTTTTAACACGTACTGGAAACCTAACCGAGCCATGTCAGCTGACCTCAGTCTTTCCTTGTGTTTTTGTCTTTTGGCCTTCGCTCGCTCCAGAATGCTCTGTCGTTTTTCTGACGCTACTCTTTCCATTTTCCTTGATGTAAGGATTTTTTTTTTTATTTTCTTTGTCCCTCTGCTGTCATCTGATCTGATGTTAGTACGTTTGTTTTCTTAAGACTGTAAGTGAGGTTTGAACTATAACTGGTATCAGAGCACTCAAATCTTTACTCTGCCTGTGTTTGAGAGATACGTCAACCAAAATGTGTCTGTTTCCTTTTTCACAAATATCTGTGGTCGTATTTAAGTACACAATTTCAGTGAATTATCATTGTCATACTATCTACAACATAGAAGCCGCCTTAATTCTGGCTGCTGGTTCACAGATTTCTTACAGCGCAAAGCTTTGTGTGAAATAAAACATTTTCAACCCTTTTTAAAATGCCAGATACAAGAATCACAGTCACAATGATTTGAAATCATTTGGACTCAAAAGAATTTTCAAGTACTTATTGTATTTTCAATTATAACCAAAGTGAGATCATTAGCAGTTTTTGCAGAATGTCAGCAAGTTTTTGTTTCCTGTATTTTATATATATATATATATATGTGTGTGTGTTTTTGTATAAATGCTGTCCTAAATGAAGTAGCCAACTCAACACTGTTACCTGAAAACAGTTGTTCATCTTTTGTTACTGTGTCAGAATGAATAACACTTTGATTCCTCTACCATTAACTTTTTTATTTTTTTAATGGTAAGTTGTATGTGCCAATAAAACACCTGAACCAGACTTGTTATATTGCATCTGTGTCATCAGCAGGTTTGTCTCAGCGCTGATATCGGCCCTGATTCTGTCTCTGATCTATCTATAACTCTATTTATCTATCTACACATCTATATATCTTCACATATCTATCTACCTATCTATACATCTCTACCTATCTATTTAAACATCTATCTATACATCTCACTTTATCTATAAATCTCTACCTTTTGATCTATCTATACATCTCTCACTCTATCTATACATCTCTCTATCTCTATACATCTTTCTCACTCTATCTATCTATCTATATCTATCTCTCTCTATATATATATATTTATATATATATTTATATATATATGTATAACAATAAGTCCTGTTATAATAAAGTGGTTATGTATCGCTGCTGACGGTAAACAGCGTCCTCTGCTGGCGGAGACGTGGAATCACCAGGGACACTGAGTTAGAGTGGTGTCTGTGGGCCCTCTGGTTGCCAGGTGTGGTATTACCCTTCACAAACTACCATTCAATACTAAACTGAAACACCCGTTGAAAGCGAACAAGACTGTAATTTAATCACGAGTAATAAAGAGTTTATCAAAATATCTACATGAGGAGAAAAAAAAAAAGCTCGTCTATTTACGTCTTGTATTAGCTAATAGCTAAGTTTAGCTTAACGTGCTCGGGGGGGGGTTTCCGGGGGAGGGATGAGTTCAGCAAACCTGGCAACCCCATCCTCACCAGACGGTCTGCGGATGTTAGTGAGTTAGCCGCTGATGCTAATAGCTTTTGTTTCAGCTCACGGCAGCTTCCCCCCGGAGCCACCGACAACATCGACACGACACGGGGCGGAGGTCCACGCTCCCGGGTGTCACCCGCTGTCGTCCCCGGTGAGTAGATTCGACACGAACCGGCGGCACTTCACCTGAAACACCAGCGAGCTAGCGAGCTAACGCTCGTACATGTGAGACGCTGGGAAACGAAGCAGCGCTTCAACTTGTTTACAAAGATCACGAGCAGAAGCTTCGGGGACATTCACCGTCGCCTCAGTGGGTTTACATCGATCGTAAGATCCTCCTGCTCTGGGGCTTTCACCTCCAGAGGGTCCGCTAACGTGTGCACTGTTTGTACCGACACACACACGCCATTCTGTGGGTCTGCACCGCTTGCACCGTCGCTTCACTTCATTTGCTCTTTAGCTTCGAGTGTTAGAGTTTAACATTCAGTCTTTGAGTAAAAGCTGTGTCTCAACTGAGTTAAACCCCAGTAACACTGGAGTGAACCACACGTGTGTGTGTGGACATTACAACTTGTAAATGTAAACTTTACTATTTGTGTCTCCATATTAGTTTACAACAGTTTTTGTTTATGAGTTTTTTTTTTTTACAAAGTTTTAATGACTGATTAAAAAGATACTACCACTAAGTAACCAGTGTAATACCAGTATCACAATACTGAGCTGTTGGTATAATAACAGTACTCTGAAACTTTAGTGTGTATTCGGTGTAGTTTAGTGTGTTCTGACTTTATTAAAGTGTCGTGAGAGAAACAGACGATGGATGTAAGTGTTATTGATCAATTACAAAAAACAACTCCCAGAAATGTCCTCTGTTTCCAGGTGGAACATTTGGGTTCTTGACTGATCTGCGACAGTCCACGCAGCTTTTTCAGGTTTTTGCTTTGTTTCAACTTTAGAGCAGAGGTGCTTCCTCACAAACTAGAACACAAAGGGTTTATTTGACTCCACTTCACAGCCTGTAAGTTGATAACCTCTGGATTGGGTGGGGGTCCTTTTCTTTTCTACCTACTAATCTGTGGTCCCCCCCGGAGGTTTGATTCCATTTTTGTGGCTTGGTGCTATGTTGACACAACTGGTCCCAGCCTGTCTTTTACAGCCCGGCCCCGAGCACTGAGACTATTTTCACAGCCCTTGGTCTGGAGCAGTAGTGATTAGCTGTATTGTTTTCTCTCGCAGGCGAGGATCCTGCCCTGAGCCGGAACTAGTGATTGCATCCCCCGCCTCTCCTATCAGACTAAACCATCCAGGGGCTTTTAATTAGATCGTCTAAACATGTTCCACTTGTGAAGGCCCATATCTGAAGATTTGATCTACTATATCATTAGGACTAAGCGGCGGTGGGGGCATGTGACCACACGCATAACATAAAAGTAAGAAAAGGGATTTTTTCTCATTTCTTATAAATATTCCACTTTTTTCATGTGCTCCAGAAATCTGGGGCTGCCACCACAGCCTTATCACCGTATTTACTGTATTTTGGTCAGAACGGTGAACTCTTGAACACTTTCCTACATTTGACATATCCGGAGGAACATGGTGCCTCAGGGGAAGAGAGACATTTGTAGAGCTGCTTGGATTTTCCTCAATTCAGTACAATTGCGATCACAACAACAAGAAACAAGAACATGTCCAGAGCATTCAGGTGAGGGGTGGCTCCTCTTTCAACCCGACAGGACGTAACTGAGCCGACTGCTTTCAGGTAGAACACTAATACTTAAATGACGGCGTGTTAAACTTGTTTGATTCACGAGTCATGGCTGCCTAGATTAAATAGATTAGAGGTATAGGTGTGCACAAACAGATACACACACACACACTCACATGCCCTGTACTGTGCAGATGGACACTCATCTCTGGATCATGTTGCACACGTGCTCTCTGCTGCTGTAAAGCTTTGCAGCAGTAAGAGCAGCTACTCTACGGTGCATTAACCGTCAGTGAGTGTGTTGTGTAAAAGCTTAACGGTGAACTCGGTCCCCAAAAGGAGGATGTTTGCCTCCTGAAACATACAAAAAGAGATGAAGTCTATAAATATTTATTCTCCTCTGAGAAGTTTCATCCGGTAGATCCCTCTGTCGGGTTGGAGAAGGATGTTAAAGTTCATTTTATGTA